GTGAGGGACGGTGTCAAAAGCCTTGGTGAAGTCGAGATAGACAACATCCACCGCTCTCCCCTCATCTATCCAGCCGGTCATTCCATCATAGAAGGCTATCAAGTTAGTCAAGCAAGATTTCCCCTTGGTGAATCCATGCTGACTACTCTTGAGCACCTTCTTGTCCTCCATGTGCCTGGAGACAATGGCCAGTATGAGCCGTTCCATCACTTTTCTGGGGACGGAGGTGAGGCTCACTGGCCTGTAGTTGCCTGGGTCCTCCTCCTTGCCTTTTTTGAAGACTGGCGTGACATTGGCCTTCTTCCAGTCCTCTGGCACCCTGACATAGCTTTTCCTTTCACTGCAGTGCTGGACTTGGCTGGCTGGGTCAAGAGCTTAAGTTCAAATTGATGCAGGCACCAGATATTCAATTCATAAGGGATCCAGTACCGTGATCAATCCACATGCCAGCAAATTAGGGGAAGGGATGCCACCACAGACTGCAGGAAGGGAGACATGGTGCTCCCCGTCTGATGCACTCCAAGGTGGTCCTCTTCTCTTTCATCTTCTAGTCCTCAGTGGAAGACACTTAGGGACAGGGTGGGACCAAGTCAGCAGCAAAGAGGGGTTGACCATGACCTTCCTTTATTAGCCAGAAAGAAGGGAGGAAGGAATGTTTACCCATGCCGCATGGTATGAGTTATTGCTGGATTGTTGCCAGTTCATTGAATAAATCAATGGATAAAGTGGTACCTAATTAAATCACATCCCTTACATCTAGTCTCTTCCTGCATATTCAGGACAAAAACAATGCTTCAGCTCAGCTACAGGTCATTCAGCCAGAAAATAAGTGTAGAAGATAACAAAAGACGCAGTCTCATCCAATAGAAAGCGCGTGTCCCACTTGCTTGAGAACAAACATTTCCTTTGCCAGATATTTTCAAAAAAATCCCACTATCAGTGTCATGCTACATTTCTCCTTCCTCTTCTCCCAGAGGGGAAAAATTATTCTCTGGAAAAGAAAAAGAAATGACTGGAAAAGACTTCAGCCACCCAGACTTCAAAGTTTCCATTTCTGTTTTTGTGATGGATATAATCTGAGGTATAGAGAGCATTTGGTTGTGATGCCTGCCCAGAGAATTGAATTCAGCCGGATTCCATAGTCACAGTTTCATGCAGAATTCAACCGCCTTATAATTTCCCAGGAACACCAACAAGCATGTTCTAGCTCCCTCATTCCACCCTGCTTCCTTGCAAAGGCTGATGCTGCCAATCTGACTGGGGTTGTCCAGGAGGGAGTGTTCTTTAGAGATGGCTTGCAGAACTTGGAGCAAAAAACTTAAAAACATGCTGGACTTCCCTGTGATGAGGCATATGCTGAAAGATTTACCCAAGTACAACCAGATTGCTTACTTGCTTTTGTTTGGGTGATCAATAGACGGTTTTATTCCAAGAACCATCTCATCTGTTTTGGTGCTGTTTTTAGTCTAACGTTTTCACTAATTCAGACTTCTGCAGCAAAGTTTAAAAGACCACATTCTAAGGCTTTTCAGAATTGATTTGCCATCTGCTCTAAATTCTCTTAAAAGAAATGAGATTAAGTGCTCATGTTCTTGGTTTAGCCTGGCATAATTAAATCTACATGCAGGATATGTGGCATATGTGGGGCATTTGCCAGTGATACAACAATTAACAGCTTTTAAATCCCTTTTTTTTTTCTCCTTGCCACAGCTTCAGAAAAGCCTGAATGTAGTGTAAATAACCACTTTATCAGAAAAATGAATGGGTGAACCAGTCTGAGCCTCACACTCCAAATGGGAACCACTCTTGCTGCCAAGAGACCTATTTTGGGGAAACAAAAGGCTAGTTCCTCAGGTGGTAGAAACTGGCTGTAGTCCCACATTGAAGTCACACACACCAAGCATGGGTCTGACCTGATGTGCTCTACTTTCCTCTTTGACATATCATTTCTTTTTTAGGGCTGGCTAGAAGGCTGTGTCAGCCTGCTCAGAAATGGTGCTAAACAGAACATATCGGATAAAAACGGAAGATCGCCACTACATGCTGCTACTGCAGAGTCCGATGTGAGGTATGTCCTGGGCTCCAGCAGTGTTTAATGGTTGAATATCAAAAGATGGCCAACGAAAGAAGATACCTGGCACCAAAGAAAGCACAGGAAAGTGGGACAGTTATCCTTGCAAGTTGTTCTTTTGCTTAACAGTTATCATAAAGGGAGTAGCAAGGAGCAAAAGCTTTGTACAATATTTCTATAAAATAGATATATGGCCAAGAAAGGTAGGGAGTCTGATCTCTCAACAGTATAAGAAACAAACAAACAAACAAAACCAAAACCAAACAGCATTATAGTAGAAGTTGAAACTCTACAGTTCCCTTGACCATGTACCCTTTTGGCACCTCTCCACAAGAAATATTACAGAAAGCTCTTCCTCTGGTCATCTTCTCTCATGAGTGAGAGAAAATTTTTTTCACAAGACCAACTCTTCGAGAGCCCCCATGGTAAAGGGGAAGCTGAGGTTTGGTGTTTCATTTTTAGCTACTCTAAATGAAGGCTTACTAGCAAACAAAGTATTTCTTCGTATATTCATCATTCTCCTCAGGAAGATGCTCTTTTTCTCGTTCTAGCCTATGATAATAGGAAAGCTGACAAAATTTTAAGTCGTGATTTATACATCTGAATAAATTCACTCAAAACCTCTCCTAAGTAAATCATGTCTAGAGGGATAAGGAGACAGAGAGAGGTCAAATATTCTGTGAATGCAAATGTTCATCTGACCTAATCACTGATGCTATGGTTTTGCTGTTGCTACCAGTCCAGAGCCCCCTGCATTTCTGCTCATCTTGCTCTTCACCCTCTCTTCAATTTTCCACCTTCATTGCTGCTTTTCATGCATCACTTAGAGGGAATAGCTGGTGGTTTCTCCACAAGTATCAGTGCATTATAATTAAAGAAAGCCCCTGCAGAAAGAAGACAATGTCTGTACAATACTAGGCATGTTGCTATTTAAAAGGAACTGCAATTTACTTTAACAGCAGCATGCAGAGTTCCCTGGATGTTTTTTTCACGTTCCCCACGGTCACCTTTGCTCTGGCCAGTTTACCAGCTGCCCAGCTCCTTTGCATCTGTCTTCTGCCTGCCTTCACCCCGCACCCAGAAGACACGACTGGAGCAGCAGGGGTAATTTTCAATCAATCACAGTCGTTGTTGACAAGTCATGTCAAAAGGGCATGTGTGGTAGCCATCTATGAAATGCTTTTTCAGCCAAACTTAAAAGCTGGCAGCCCACTTCTACAAGTCCATGTGCTGGAGGCAGCACATAGATCACATGGAAGGATAGAGACAGAAGTCACCCGAGTTATGGTCATTTATCACTTGATTTGATAATTGCTTTCATGTGCTGCAGTGCATGTTCCACAGAGCCTAGGAGAAATGGTAGAAAGGAAATCCATATACTCCCTGACCTCTGGCTACAAAATGTATATCTAAAAGTAGTAGATACCAGAGAATTCTCAGCTGGGCTGGCTGAATATCCAGATATTTGAGTGGTAGCAATGCTATAGCTGTAATGGTCTGAAGATAAGAGTGAGTCAAGGTTTGTAGATAAAGGATTTAAGAGAATGATATGAGTCTTTCAAATACATTTGTTTCATTGATGATATCTGGAGTTAAACCGCAGAACCATATAAAGGATTATAACAGCTGGTGCTACATGGGTTTTTCAAGCATAATACAGTTACTTTACCTTTTTTCTGCTCACCATTCTGTTTTCACCCAGACTCGTTTCAGATACTGAATTTCTGAAGTTCTGCTTTAATTTATTGTGCCAACTGACCATAAAATATCTCCTTCCTTTTACAATTTTTACATACTAATTACAGCAATTCTACAGCATCTGTCCTCCTTTGGGACTCTATTATGATGTGTCTTTCAGAAAAGAAGGTTTCACACCTCTTTTCTACAGGTGATTGTAACCACAAATAAATGGAGTTGGATTCCTAATAAAACACTGGGATATTCCCAGTCTTCATCCTTTAGGGAGCTTCGGTTAGAAAAAAGAATTCAATTTGGACTTCTACCACCTGAATGTGGTATTAGAAAACAGATCTGCTTTTCACCTGCAAAATGACCCAAATCATCCCTAAGCGATTTGAAATGTCTTCCTTCTAAATAATTTACACTATCTACTTGTTTATTACTGAAAAAAAACAAACACAAATAGATTTCTCCTACAGCTTCTCAGTTCAATCTGATGAACACCCCTGAGCACAGTTCAGTCCAGAAAATGTACTGAAAGCATCTGAAGATTGTCTCGCTGACAAGCAGTACAATTTTTTTTTACAAGATTTGCATTCATTCTCCTTCGAGTGGGAATAAGAGCATGATTGCAAACATTTAACTATGTAAAATTTACAAGCTCAAGGAGCAATTGTACATGTTGTTCTCTAATGAAACACAAAATCTTCAGAATTCAAGAAAAAGCATTTTTTTCCACCTGTGAAGTACTGCCTCTGCATTTTGTATTTGTTGCTTAGAGTACTTTATCTATTAATCTCCTTGCAAAACCATGTGCTGCTTACAAATCCATGCGAACTGTACATTCAGCATCTGTGCCACTTGGCTTTGTCACAGGCTGTGGCAGGATGGTCCTTGTCATTTCTATAGTCCACCCATTTGCATGGTCCAAATACTTTACATTCTTTTGCAAGACAAAATCACTTTCTCCAAACCTACTGTGATTTCAACACATCTTCACAGGATGACATAAGGAAAAGGAAAGCACTGAAAATCCATTACAAATATCTATTGATCATTAAAAATGATATTCCACTTGAACAGTATTTTGTGTGTCATCATTTTTTGTAATGGTTCCCTCCACCAGAGGGGAGCGTTTGTAGTCTGATTTTCTACAAAAATGTGAACCAAAGTCTTGCTAAATTTTGTGCCGTAGCAATGGCCTTATTCCAGTAGACACAGTATAGCTTTGTAAAATCATATTGGTTTGTGTGTGTAAACATGCATGTATGTATGTATGTCTGTACCTACAAATACACGCAAAACACATGCGAAAGTTTAGAAACAGATCATTACCATTTCTGTTTGTTTAACACTTCATAATTTGGTATTACAATGAATTTCTAAGTTACAGAGAACTACACATGCATATAGTATTACACATCCTGACTCCCCTCTGGCAATCAGCCTAAGAATTCTTTCCAGTGTACCCACTTTTGATTCTCTGTGGTAAATTTATGTCATTACAGAAAGCCCTAATTTTTGCTTTTTTGCTTTTCTAGTATTACCAAACCCAACACTCTGACCTGTGCCCATAACTAATACTGATTTTGCTTTAAATTGCATGTTTTGTTTCTCAAAAAATGACAGTTTTTCAGATTTAGTCAGGAGTGCAGCACACTGAATTATGTCATTGCTTCTGCAGGCTTCTGAATGTGCTTCTGCAGCAGTCAAATCTTAGCAAAATTAATCATCAGGACAATGAGGTGAGTGAGCTTACACTGCAGGTCCCAGTCCCGCTCTCTGAAGTCATACTGTTCATTCTGTGCAGAAAGAAACCGCAGAATCACCAGTTTTATGGTGAGACTATGCCCAAACCTAAGATTTCCCTAATGCCCTTACTCAACTTTGCAAAGCCTTGTCTCATTTTTCATACTATGTGTGATGCACCTATAGACTCACAACCTTCTGTATATACTGCCAACTGGGAGGTACCTTGAAAAATTCTCTTAACTCACTTGCCAGGACACAAATTGCTTTTGATTCTTCTGAAGTCAGATCCTGGAGTGAATGTTTACCTTGTCCAAACTCCTTGCCATTAAAGAATTAACAGTTCTCAGGGAGAATATGAGAAACCTGGTATAGCATGGAACAGCTATGGAGCTACAAAAATGATGCTAGGTTACTCTGATCCTGAAAGAATTGTGTCCTGCATACTTATGTATCCATACTGTGCACAGGGGAGTCTCAATTTTCTGGATGTGACTGTTTCTCCAAATAAGGAAGCCAAGGCACAAGAGAGACTCTGGCTGCTTTTCCATGTTTCTCTTCACTCCAGCATTTGCTCAAGGATGCTTCTCCACTCCAGAGCACCAGAGGTGGAGAGCCCACCACAGGGCTGCTAATTTTATCTCTCCCCATCTACCACTCCCTTATCTGCTGGATATTTTGCATACCCTCCTTACAGTAGCCTAAAACAGACACAGAGTTTGTCTTCGCACAGAGTTATGTTGCTAACAAATTATATCAAACCCTGGTTTGCACTTTCAATCTGTGATGTTTAGCTGCATGCACCAATAAATGAAATTTAGACCTTTTAGTCTAGCTCACTGTCATCTAGCACTAAGAAGGTATTTATCTGTTCAAGTATCATTCCTAAATCCTGAATATTTATGTTTTCTGAAAAATGTGGGTCTTCACAACTGATTTCAGTTAATAAAGCTGTTCTCTTGGCATAAGGAAAACACTTGAGAAAAACACCCCAATGAATGCATGAACACATAAGCACTAAGAAATACATCTGGAGGTTTCAGTTTCCACAACTGCAGCTTTTTGTGGGTTTACTGATGAAGCCTGTGAGATGACAATGTGAACATGCATTCCTTGAAAAAGCCCGGAATCTGGGCAAAATCAGTATCATAGTGTACACTTCCCAAATGCAAATGAATGTTTTGCCTGCTACTTCAGGTCCTTTTCTGGATTTCACGCTTCTATGGTTATTGTCCATCATCCATAACTATCCCTTACTTTTTTGTTGTTGTTGCTTTGTCCTCGCTTGCTCCTTATTTTCACGCATTCAATTGTGTGTCTTTAATATTATGTTTTGCTGGAGCTTCAAGCTCTTCTTCAAGCTCTTTGATGGTTCTGACATAGCCCTCATGCTTCAGCTCCTGAGCAGTCGGCCTTCAGCATCTGCCCTGTAAGGCTGCTCCCACTGCACACAAATCAGCGTGTGGGGTTATATGAGCTTAATGCCCTTTGCTCAACTCAGTGCTCCGAAAGGACATGTGGAATGTACAGTAATTAGAAAAGAAATAGAGAACAAAACAGGAAGCAGCACGATGCTCTGTCTGAATCCTTGGTACAGCCGCATCGTGAATACCAGGTGCAAAAATCATCTGAAAAAGGATATACAAGAAAAGGAACAGAAAAGATTACAAAGATGGTCACAGTTACAGAACAGCTTATTTTCATCGGCAAACTAACTAAAATAAACTAACTGGAATAGGACTTTAAGTGAGGCAAGTATGTTTGAGTGATAATAAAAGTATGTAGCTTCATAAAGGTCACAGAGAAGGTGGAAAGGGAATGACTATTCACCTATTCACTGTTTTTTTTTTTTTCATACCTAAGCTGGTGGGGTCACCCACAGAAATTACCAGGCATCAGTTTTAAACCAAATGAATGGAAGTACTTTCACATATACTGCTTAGTCACATGCTGCCAGCTGAGGCTTTAATCATCAGGATGATGTAGAAAGTCTTCAGCCTACTGATTACCAAAAGTTGGGTAGCTGCATATCACCAGGCCTTATATCTTGTGTATCCTCCCCAGGCATCTACTGCTAACCTGTAGCATGCCTGAGTTATGTTCCTAGACTGGGCAGAACTTTGATTCCTACCAACTACAGCTCTTTTTATATTTCTTATGTTATAAATGGCTCTGTTAGTGACCACAGTAGGAGCAGAGAGCTCATTTTTCAAGAATCTTGCCCTTTTGTTCATACCAACAGACTTACAATGGATGATGACAGGCTGGACTTGCACATTGTAGCCTTCCCTATTTCACTGAATTTTTCTGCTCTCCAGACTGGCCTTAGGAATCCTTGTCCCAGGTGGAACTAAAGCCTCAGCCCCACTCACAAATTTTGAGTGTCCCTCAGCAGGACCAAGTCCCTTGTGTCAAAATCATGGTCCACAGACATCAATGGTCTGCCAGTTCCCATTAAGAGCTCTTGCAGAGACAAGATTTCACTCTCATTTTTCATTTTACAAAACCAAAACCCCCATGATTTCCCAACCCTAACTGAGTTTTAGCTGAGATGCCTTTTTTGCCATCATCCATATTTAAGCCATCTGGGGACTTGGAAAGTTTATAATGAAGAGAGAGAAGTTAATGTTAGGGGATTGAAGCTTTTACTCAGAAAATCACTGCTAACAACCTCCAGTATTAACACATTGATAGGTTATCCAAATGAATGTGTCATATGGGTTTTTTGTATAGTTTTTTTTCCTGAGTTGTTGCCATTTGCTTTATGGGGTTCTATGTCAAGTTTTATTTTATTTTCCATTCCTTTCTTTTTTTTGTTTGTTTGTTTTGTTTTTATCCTTTTGGAATCCAAGAAAAAGCCTTGAAATTAATTTTCCCTGTCAGAGGTAGTAAATAACACTTGTGCAAAGCACAGTGCTACCACACCTGAACAGAATTTGCAACTTTTAAGAAATATATTGAAGGAGTAAATTTATACAGAAAAGCTTTAATATTATGGATCTAGAGTAAAATACAGTGGCTGTAACCAATAGACCCTGAATTCTCTGTTCTTCCATGACTGATTAAACACAGATAAGATGGAATGAAAATGCAGGCCAATAGCTCCCCATTTGGTCTGTTTTCTCTTTAGACAGTAAACACAGTATGTTTACATTGTGAGTTTCTTGTGGACACCACTGGGCCACTTCCTTAGCTAGCTGATTAGTGCCAGCTAAAACACTAATATTTATTTTGGAACAAAGATAAGACCTAAGATAAATATGACATGATTTTGAGAAAACACCTGCCTAAAATAGGCCTTTCTCACAGGATCCCAACAGAGTAATCAGGAACTGTTCCCTAACTGCCATGCTCCTGACCATGCATTATGGATTATGTTAGGTGTTGGTAGACATTTATATTAGTATCAATTTTCTGTAATAATCCCCAAAAGCTAATGGTTTGTTTCCCCTCTACGACTCCACCTCCTCAGGAGTCGCTACAGCTGACTTTACATTACAACAGAGGAGCCAAAGGGTTTCGGGCCTGTCCAGTTTATCTCTATTTTAGCAGAGAACCGCACAGCGCGGCCGCGAGGGGTGACCTCCTCTCTCTGGGTTTGTGGCTGGGGCAGGCAGGGACCCCCTTGCCGCTGGGCACAGGCCTCGCTGCCCCTGCGTAGTGTTTCCTGTAGGCTCAGCACTATCACCCTGAACCGAGTCATCGTTTATCTCACGGGGACTATGTGCATGCTTCACACTATTTGTTTACTTATTTTTAACTGAAACAGTTGCAGAAATCAGCAGCTTTAGTGTTGCTGAGGTCCTTTGGATATAGAACAATGTAAATGTAATTTGAAACACCCTTAAAAGCTACTGTTGTGGAATAATTAGCTGAAGTGTGAAAGCCTGGCCTTTGTGGAAATTAAGGAAGACAGGGAGTTAAGCACATTTCTTGTTGAACTGCATGTTCTTATCTCGTATAAAAAAAATAAAAAAACAATGCCAAGCTGATAAAAAATCACTTGGCAAACAATTAGAGAACACAAATGTACAGGTTAACAGGTATACGTAATATTAAACACCATATTACACAACTGGTAAAGGACATATTAGTAAGTGGTGTGATAGGAAGTGTAATTTAAGAGGTTATGCATAAGCTTTACTGCAAAAGACATTCCAGATGAAAGGAGAATTATATAAGAATGTTCTTACTTGTTCACTCACAAAAGCAAGTTTCAGTAAGCACCAATATACAAAAGAGCTGCACGTCAGATAAGCAGAAATGGAACTGCCATGAAAATCCAGTACCATTTTCATACAGTGACTAAATATTTGCATACTCACCTTTTGGTTCAGGTCCACTCATCTTAAAATACATGTCAACAGAGAAATAAAAAAACTCTGAACTGCCAAATACTATTTTTATGTATGAGTAGGACATCTAGAAAGAAAAGTCTTTCCTTCAGCCACAGCCCCACACAGGCTCTCATATAGTAGACTCAACTTTTGTTTTTCTGATATAGAGTTATATCTTGGTCTCTGCAACCAATATATATAATAGCTACATATATATGATACATATAATAACTGTATTATTTCAACACAGTTTCATACTTCTTATTCGCGATCAGTTTGACTTGGGGGTACATCTCTTGTAGGAGGCTAAAAGGAAAATCTCTGAAACTACAGCTCCTACAAACTAGGCAGTGTCTGTATTATAACTCTGGGAACAAGCAGTCTCTCCAAGACAAAGTCATAGTAGGACCTTCTCCACATCAGGAGCCTCAGAGATCCACTCATCCACTAATCTGTCTTTGATTCTGTATTTTTAAAATTCTGTGGTTTAGTCTCACCACCTAACCTCTCATTTGGCTCGTGAGCATTTTGGCTCACAGATGTATAGATTAACTCTGGAAATAGGGAGATTTTGGCTCATAAATGTATAGATTAACTCTGGAAATAGGAGGATATTAAAACTGCACAAAAGACACTTCGCCTCAGGTAGAGGCAATTCT